CAAGCATAACTTGTGTCTGGTCACTAGTGCAATAAGAGCTTTGTTCCACTCCACCCTCATTGCAACTCTCGAGACGAAATGGGCTTTGCAGGGTACCAGGAACGGCAGCAACAAATACCACAACCTTTTACACATTCATTCCTTCTGGAGGAGCCCTTTCAAATGTTACATATTGTATCTCTTTCAATAAGATAAGGGGGTCACCTTGATACAGAGGTACAATTAAAACAGCACACCTAAGATAAATATGGGAAATACCGTTTTACATTTGGGGCTTTAGAATAAGTGTCCAACCGAACTTGCTTTGTTAACTTTTTACTGTGATTTAACAAAACAAAGACAACTGAGCATTGGATGATGTATGTGAGATAGTCAAATGTGAGGACTGCAGAGAGACGCTGCCAGATAAAGAATCCGTTGATCTGCAAACAGCAGCCTTTTCTTTTGAGTACAGTACCCTGGCCTCTGGGAATTGAGTTGGCTTCTCAGCCAACTCTTCCTCGCTTCTCTTTCAGCTGTCCCCTTGCCAATGGAAGCACTGTACAAAATAACTTGTGTCACACTGTGTCTTCCGGAAAGCTTTCCCAGATCTACTATGAGGAGGAAGCTTATCATAAACACCCCAATCATCCCAGTTGGCTTTTCTCCCAAAGAGCCATGTCCTATCTCTCTTCTCCCAGGCTCTGTCATCACAGGGAGCCTCACAGGAGGGAAATTCATAACACTGAAGGGATTCATCTCACTCTTTCCAATGGATGCCAGACGTGCCCTCTGCAAATAAAGAGCACTGAAGGACAAACACCCTTTTAGTGCCCCCTGCATGCAGGCCATCCATCATCCCATCAAGGCCAGGAGGAGAGGCCAACTCCTTTTGCTCCAGAAAGATAAAGCCTATCACAGCTGCATATCTGTCCAACTTCCCTGCCTATTAACCATGTTCATCTTCAATTAAAAGGATATGTAACTATTTAAAGAGCTGTCTACCTGATCATATTTCAGGCATTCCAACTTCTATCCAAGCCAATTCCACAGCTACCAGGGGCTTCGGTGTGTATTTAAGCAATTGATAGTAGAAACTCTTAGCAAAGGAAGAAATGGGTGGTTTGATGGTTCATTGCAAAAGAATCTACCATATATTTTCACAACAGCTTCCTCAAGTAATGGTGCTCCAGTGTTTTGTACACAAGGGGTTTTGAGTGCATGGTACTTATCAGGAAAGCTGCAATAGATTATGAAAATGGTAAAAAGTGGAAGGGGGTAGTGACCCAGAGAAGAGGGTGTTGATCTTGATAGTTCTTGGAAAATGTCATTTTTTGGATTATAACTCCCAGAATCCCCCAGCCAGCAACTGAAGACTGGAGCTCTTAGAGGTCTTTTATTTGTATGGTCATCAAGATGCTACATTTCTCTAGTTCTAAGACACATGTTTTGGTCAACATTAGATTTGGTTTGGTTATTTGGAGTGCTGATTCAGAAAATTGCATTGGATAGACCATATCAGCTCTAGTTTCTGATACAGAACATATGCCATCCAGTAGTCACCATCTGCTCTCCCACAGAAAACTATATTTAATAATCTAGAGCTGATGTTAGTAGTAATATTTTGTGGGCAATCTGCCTCTCCCCTCCCGACATCCCTTGTGAGACCAGTTGCTCTTGTTGCCTCATGCTTTTGAGGTAATGGTGTAGTAATGGTGAGGCTGTGGACCATATTTTTGTTCTTGCAGACCACTGGTTGTCCACAGACCACAGGTTGGGGACCACTAATATATATAGAGAGATGGGGGGGGGGGAGAGAGCTTTCTTTCTGTTGGTGTACTGAAATTAGTGTTCATCTTACAATCAATACTATCTCAGAATTGAAAAAATACAGTAAATTGAAGTTGGTTTTCTAGCAAATAAAATCAAAACACGAATAGGGGTCTGGTGGTTAAATTTCTTACATTTTTCATGAGCAAGTATATTAAGGAATAAAAGAGCTCTTGCAGTACCTTAAGCCCCTTCTACACTGCCATTTAAGCCATATGATCAAAACAGAGTCTACATTGCCACATAATCCAGTTCAAATCATATAATCTGGTTTTTATATGGCACTGTAGATGGAGCCTTTGAGATGAACTGAGGCCCGTTCCACACAACTGAATAAAATCCCATATTATCTGCTTTGAACTGGAATATATGGCAGTGTGCACTCAGATAGCCCAGTTCAAAGCAGATATTGCGGGATTTTCTGCTTTGATATTCTGGGTTATAGGGCTGTGTGGGAGGGCCTCGTGAGAATGAAGTTGATAGCACATGATTTCAGAGGCTGGGGGCCCTTCCATACAGCCTTAAATCCTAGAATATCAAGGCAGAAAATCCGACAAGACGTATTTTGAACTGGGTCACTGAATCCATACTCAGATAAAGTGGGGTTTTCTGCCTTGATATTCTGGGATATAGGGCTGTGTGGAAGGGCCCCCAGTCACATACTTGCAGTGGTTAGTCCAAAGTTTTCATGGTTACTGTCTAAAGAGCTATCCCAAAGAAATGTAGTTCTGTGGGGAAAGCGACATTTGAAAACATTAATCAATGGCAAATGTATTTTAGCACCGAGAAGAATTAAACTGCTGCAGATGTTTCTTATGTCCAGAAACAATTGTTTGTTCACATTCTTCTTCTTTTTCACATTCTTCTTCCAATTCTTTTCTTCTGGTTGTGTGACTAAGAGGATCATCCTTTTCCAACAAGTAGTTCCCTATTTTTTTCTTTTGTAACCAGAGATGAGAGAAATAACTTTTAAACATCTTGATTCTGGACCTCACTGCTGGGCAACTCTGGGGGCCCTTCCACACAGCCCTCTATATCCCAGAATAGCAAGGCAGAAAATCCCGCAATACCTGTTTTGAACTGTGTAACAGTCTTGACTCAGATAACCCACTTCAAAGCAGATATTGTGGGATTTCCTGCCTTGATATTCTGGGTTATATGGCTGTGTGGAAGGGCCCTGGGAGTTGTGCTTCAAAAGAGTAACTTCTCCAGAGAATTGTCAAAGGCTTTAATGGCCGGAATCACTGGGTTGTTGTAGGTTTTTTGGGCTCTATGGCCATGTTCTAGAAGCATTCTCTCCTGATGTTTCGCCCGCATCTATGGCAGGCATCCTCAGAGGTTGTGAGCTCACTATGAACCTCCTATGAACCTGCGTGATCCCTCCTCTTGCTCCTGCCTCTGTCACAAGCATAACTTGTGGGGACGAGGGAGAGGGCCTTCTCTGTGGTGGCCCCGTGGCTCTGGAATTCACTCCCCAGGGAGATTAGGCAAGCACCAACCCTGGCAGCCTTTAGGAAAAGTTTAAAACTTGGCTTTTCCAGTGTGCATTTGAAGAATGAATAACTAATTCCTATACCAGGTCCTGTCCCAGTGTCGATTTGTTTTTCTGATGCACTTTATCTCATCCCTCAGGGGAGATTAACCTCATTGTTTATCCCACAGAGTCTCTCACTAGACACAGCACTTTATCTACCTATCTCACCCACAGGTTTTACAATTTTTACCTTTCGCATTTGGCCCAGCTCACCCTTGTTAATCCTTGTACAGTTTTATACTCTGTTTTATTATGTTATTGTCACTATATTACCATGTCATTGTTTAGCATTTTCGCTTGATGTTATCATCTGTTTTTGTACGTATTTTATTTTGCCTTATTGTAATTGCTCAGGCTTGGCCCTATGTTAGTCACCCAAGTCTCTTTGGGGAGATGGTGATGGGGTACAAAGAAAGTTATTATTATTATTATTATTATTATTATTATTATTATTATTATTATTTGAAACACAATAAGATGAGTCCACAGCAAACAAGATCATGTATTGGAGAATAATGCATGCAGATCTCAATAAGATCTCAGATCCCACCCACCCCCCAAAACCAACTTTTCAACCTCTCCTTAAGTTTCAACTGTAACACTAATGTTTTGGCGATCTTGAAAGTGTCAGAAAACAATCAGACAGGAAATCCATGATTTGATTCAATATACTATTTTAAAAAAAATGATTAAAAGCCCAGTGCCAAAGGGTTTTGAGTAAATCCAGCATTTAAGGCATAAATGGGAGGATTTTTGTATGGAGACCGTGCCAGTTTTCATGATGAATTTTAAACTCACATCTTGTGTTCACTATATTTTAAGCTTTGTTCTGTGTATTTTAATATATGTATTTGTAGAAATATGTTTTATGATATGTATTTTATATAATGTTTATGATTTTATGTGTTTTAGCTATGTTGTGACCCACCTTGAGTCACAAGGAGAGGCGGGTAAGAAATAAATATTATTATTATTATTATTATTATTATTATACTGACATAATAACACAGTATGTCACTGCAAACGAGATATATGTGCTGGATTTCATATCACAAAATCACAAGTCGAATTCTTCCCAAGCATCTAGGACTGTGTGATGTATTTTTGGACGATGTGCACAGATCCAAGTAAGGTGGCCTTTTGCAGTTGACAAATCGTGATTTTGTCAATGATGATGATTATTATTATCATTATAGATGCAGGCAAAACATCAGGAGAGAATGCTTCTAGAACATGGCTATACAGCCCGAAAAACCTACAATAACCCAACTTCTCCAGATGCTGCTCATCAGTTTCCTTCTTCAAGAAGCATCAACCTACACACAATTTCCTCCTTAGCCATTTGCTGAGATTGTAGTACCTCTGGTAGTAGCAGGGACTCCAACAACAGGAGCTACTGGAAGAAGATCCTGCTTTTGTCTGCACTTTCCTTTAACCCTTGGTGCCCATCAAAGGATTTCAGGGGGGAAATTCCAACTTAGTCAAAGAGAACTTCTGTGAACAAGCTAATGCCCAAGTTACATGAGAAAGGGATCTGTCCTTTTGTAAGAGTGCCTTGATTCCATCACATCTGTGCTTGTTTACACATATTTCCTCCCAATGGATAGAAGGTTTCATTTCACTCATCCCAAAAAGTTCTGCCCAGTGTTTCACTTACCTATTTAAAAGCAAGTCCTTCCATTTATTTGGCTTTCTGCTCTGTCCCTAAGGAGTGGAGGAAGGGGGGAGACGGCTGCTGCTGCTTCCTCCGTCTTCCAGGTTTTTCCTCCTCTTCTTGGTATTTTCCTCAAACTTCTTGAAGCTTTTCGTGCATTAGCGACATCCCCAAATGTGAAAAGATCCGAAGACATCTGTCCCTGGGGCAGACCACTCCCTGGGAGAAAATAGGGGAATCTCTCTCCTCAATGTGCTCCATTACAAAGGAATGGGGGGATTTCCAAGAATTCCCTGGGACATGTAGTGCAAAGACATCCCACGCTGCAAGATTCCCCTTTTTAAATTTGTTGATATTGCAGTTTTCTGTTAATTTCTAGTTGATAAGGGGATAATCGCCTCCCCCTTTCTTATCCCATTTTCCAGCCCAGCTTGCTCCAGCCCTCGTGGTAGGAAAGAGTCATTTGCTGAATCAAAGCACTTCTTCCCGGCAATACAATGCCTCCCCTGTGGCGGATTTTTGTGCCGTGAGAACGTGTGAAAGAATGGCATCAGAGAGATCTCCCCAGAAGGAAAGTGTGCAGGGCAGCTGGCTATTAATGTCGTATTAGTGATGGATTAGCAGAAGGCTTTGCCAGATAGACCGAGCCTAGCTTGGCAAAACTAATAAGCTAGCTCACAGCAAGGGGCCAGGAATGCCTGCCTCCAAGTTATTTGGACAAAGATGGGGAGGATATAATAGGATTCAGGGAAACGGAACAATCCACAGGTGAATGTACTGCGTTGCTTGGGGTAGCCAAGTGGTAGACTGGGGGTGCATCTTAACAGAGTAGTGAAGTGGGCCAAAACTAACAAAATGAAGTTCAACAGGGACAAATGCAAGATACTCTACTTAGGCAGAAAAAAATGAAATGCAAAGATACAGAATGGGGGGACACCTGGCTCGAGAGCAATACCTGTGTGAAAAAGATCTTGGAGTCCTCGTGAACAACAAGTTAAACATGAGCCAACAATGTGATGCGGTGGCAAAAAAAAGCCAATGGGATTTTGGCCTGCATCAATAGTAGTATAGTGTCTAGATTCAGGGAAGTAATGCTACCCCTCTATTCTGCCTTGGTTAGACCACACCTGGAATATTGTGTCCAATTCTGGGCACCACAATTGAAGAGAGATATTGACAAGTTGGAATGTGTCCAGAGGAGGGTGACTAAAACGATCAAGGGTCTGGAGAGCAAGCCCTATGAGGAGTGGCTTAAAGAGTTGGGCATGTTTAGCCTTCAGAAGAGAAGGCTGAGAAGAGACATGATGAGGGCCATGGATAAATATGTGAGAAGAAGTCATGGGGAGGAGGAAGCAAGGTTGTTTTCTGCTGCCTTGGAGACTAGGACACAGAACAATGTCTTCAAATTACAGGAAAGGAGATTCCATCTGAACATTAGGAAGAACTTCCTGACTGTGAGAGCTGTTCAGCAGTGGAACTCTCTGCTCCAGAGTGTGGTGGAGGCTCCTTCTTTGGAGGCTTTTAAACAGAGGCTGGATGGCCATCTGTCAGGGGTGCTTTCAATGCAATTTTCCTACTTCTTGGCAGGGGGTTGGACTGAATGGCCCATGCGGTCTCTTCCAAATCTATGATTCTATGATTCTATCTACACAACAGAATTAATTCACTGGGTTGCTGTGAGTTTTCTGGGCTGTATGGCCATGTTCCAGAAGTATTCTCTTCTGACATTTTACCTGCATATATGGTAGGCATCCCAACCTCTGAGGATGCCTGCCATAGATGCAGGCAAAATGTCAGGAGGGACTGCTTCTGGAACATAGCCATTCAAACGGGAAAATTCATAACAACTCAGTGATTCCGGCCATGAAAGCCTTCAATAATACAAATCCTTTGGAGTCTTCTGCTTAGCATCTTGTACACATTTGCTTCATCATCATTTGGAACAGTATCTAGCTGCACAATATATGTATCATTAAAATTGTATCATGTACCATTGTTGAACACCATTGGGAAACATTCAGATACAAGAGATTCATAAATATCAAAAAGAAAGAAAAGAGTTATTTTTCCCACCCTGGACATTCCGCAGATATATAAACCTCACTTGCCTAGTTTCCAACAGACCCCTCAATTCTGAGGATGCCTGCCATAGATGTGGGTAAAATGGCAGGAGAGAATGCTTCTGGAACATGGCCATACAGCCTGGAAAACTCACAGCAACCCAGTGATTCTGATCATGAAAACCGACAAAACATAATTCAGTTTTGACACCAAATTCATTGTTTGTTTGGTTGCATGCTGCAAGTCGCTTCTGGTGTGAGAGAATCAGCCATCTGCGAAGATGTTGCCGGGGGGGGGGATGCTCAGATGTGTTGCAATGCTGCATTTTTAAACTTTGTGTTTTTAAATATGTTACAACTGTACCATCAGTTTGCTTCTGATACAATAAATAAATATCACATTCATTACCATGGCTCAATGCTACAGAATCCTGGGAGATCTATATTGTTGAAGGCTTTAATGACTGGAATCACTGGGTTGTTGTAGGTTTTCGGGCTATATGGACATGTTCTAGAAGCATTCTCTCCTGACATTTTGCCTGCATCTATGGCAGGAATCCTCAGAAGTTATAAGGTCTGTTTAAAACCTCTGAGGGTGCTTGCCATAGATGCAGGAGAAACATCAGGGGAGAATGCTTCTAGAACATAGCCATATAGCCTGAAAAACCTACAACAACCTGGGAGATATAGTTTGGTGAAGGACCAGCACTCTGCAGAGAAGCCTAAGAACTTTATAAAACTACAACTTCCCATGATTCCATTGCAGTGAAAGCAGTGTCAAACTGCAATATAGTTCCCAGATCTGGATTCTAATTTTCCACTGAGCCTTTGAACTGACTTCATGACCTCTTGCTTCTTGATACCTCACATGTACACTGTGACAATGAAATAAGGGGGTCATACATATCTCCTTAAAGGGGGTGCCGTGGCACAGTGCATTAAACCGCTAAGATGCAGAACTTGCTGATCAGAAGGTCGGAGGTTCGAATCTGTGGGACGGAGTGAGCTCCCATTGTTAGCCCCAGCTTCTGCCAACCTAGCAGTTCAAAAATATGCAAATGGGAGTAGATCCATAGGTACCGCTTCGGCAGAAAGGTAATGTCACTCTGTGCAGTCATGCTGGCCACATCACCTTAGAGGTATCTACAGACAATTCGGACTCTTTGACTTAGAAATGGAAATGAGCACTATACTATCTCCCAGAGTCGTACTTCACTAGACTTAATGTCAAAGGAAAACCTTTACCTTTAAATATCTCCTTAGGCAGGAATATACTGTTGTTGTGTGCCATTAAGTAATTTCAAATTTATAACAAGCCTAAGGTGAATGTAGCACAATATTTTCTGGGACTGAGATGGCTGTAAATAACTGAAGATATATGCAGAAAAGGAAGAGAGGTTGCACAGAGATTAGGACATTAATCATTAGATGCAGATTGCAAGAAGAGGAATTCTACATAATTAGGAAGAAGTTTCTGGTAGTAAGAGCTACTCAACAATGGAGTGGACAGCCTCAGTTGATGGTGGACTCTCCTACATCTAAGGGTTTTAAACAGTTTTGATGGAGTTAGTCAAGGATGTGCCCATCAGGTTTCCAGGTACAAGAGCAAGCAAGATTGAATGCTCGCAGAGGATGAGTCGCAGTGATCTTTTGTGAGTCCTTTTCCCTATTATGGTATTGATCCAACAATTTCCAAGGTTTGAGTATATACACCTGTCAATTGGGCGATGAAACAGGTTGGGGATCCTTCATGCTGTCTTCCTGCCAGAGCTGTTAAACCATTCTCAGAAGTAGTGTTAATTTCTCCCAAATTTATTGTGTACTAAAGCGGTTCATACTGTGCATAATGAGCAGAACTATCACACTAGTTATTATTTTTTCATGTCACCCCATTTGAAAACTGCTTTGAAAACAGTTTAATATGCTATTAAAGCATATTTGTGCTTTAACGGCATATCAAGGCATATTTGTGCTTTAATGGCGTAATATTCCACTATTTTCTTTTCTGCAGTATAAGATCCTTGGTTCTGACAGTGTTGTTCATACTGCCTAGTTTTGCCCAGACTATGCATTGCTTTAAAATATTTTTAGTTGTTCTAATACAATCATGGCATAATGTCACAGTGTTATTATGCTGTGCCTTAAACCATCACAAATGATGAGAATGAAACATAAATTACAGTGTGGTATATGGTTCTACAACAGTGTTTCTCAACCTTCCTAATGCCGTGACCCCTTAAAACAGTTCCTCATGTTGTGATGACCTCCAACCATAAAATTATTTTTGTTGCTACTTCACAACTGTAATTTTGCCAGTGTTATGAATTGTAATGTAAATATCTTAATGTAGGATGTATTTTCATTCACTGGATGAAATTTGGCACGAATATCTGATACTCCCACATTTAAATACTGGTGGGTGTTTTTCGGGGGGTGGTTTAGTCATTTGGGAATTGTAGTTGCTTGGGTTTATAGTTAATGTACAATCAAAGAGCATTCTGAACTCCACCAATGATGGAATTGAATCAGACTTAGCACACAGAACTCCCATGACCAACAGAAAATACTGGAAGGGTTTGGTGAGCATTGACCTTGAGTTTTGGAATTGTAGTTCACTTCCATCCAGTGGATTCAAACAGTGATAGATCTGGACCAAACTTGGCACAAATACTCAATATGCCCAAATGTGAACACTGGTGGAGTTTGAGGGAAATAGACCTTGACATTTAGGAGTTGTAGTTGCTGGGATTTAAAGTTCACCTACAATCAAAGAGCATTCTGAACCACACAGATAGAATTGGGTCAAACTTCCCCCTCAGAACCCCCATGATCAATAGAAAATTGTGTTTTCTGATAGTCTTTGGTGACCCCTCTTACACCTCCTCCCAACTCCCAGGTTGAGAAACACTGTTCTACAATAAAGTAAAGGAGGAATTTTGGAAAACATCCCACACAGTTAAGGAATCTGAATAGAGATTTCCAAAGGTTAAGGTCAGGACTGTGATGTTTTTTCACGATAACAACAAATCATTTACAGTATAAAAATTACAAGAAAAGGGGGGTTTCAAGAGCATAAAACATAGATAACCAGGAAACATAGGTATTTGTTTGGGAAGTCTTGTTCTCCCTCCTTATGACTTGAGGCTTTCCTGCCAGAGATTTCCAAGGGAGGGACACCCCAAACCACAGCCACAGCATACCCACTCTGCAATAATTTCTACAATGAAGTAGAATGAAACATTCACACTCCAACTGCTTGCTGAACCGTAGTGGGAAAGGGGAGCATTAATGGATTATTTCCAGCACAAAGAAAAAAATGGAATTCTCAATTACTTTACCGCAGAACAACAGTAGGAGAGCCATGATGTCATGTTATAAATATGAGGCAAAAGCAGGATTA